TGACCGAGGTGGTCTAGGCACTTTATTCCCAGGAGATCCTGAGCTTGGGCCAGTATCAGTGCGCGGGTTATATCCTATTTACACAGGAGTGCCGCCTTAAGTATGATACGCGGATATGTGCGCTAAGTTATGTTACTTTACTGTCCTATAGCCCAACCTTTAATACCATCCAAGGATCAGCCATACCCCAGCATACGATGAGGGACCCAACCTCGCTTGGGTAATTTGCATACGACTTTCGGCTCCTTCCTTACGGGACAGGTACAGCCCAGGGGACAGAATCGCAATGGGCAGGGTACGAGTGATTTCTCGTGACACTAGATCACAACTTCTCGATGGCGGCTGGGTTCTGATGAGAACTGGCCAACACCGTGCAGAACATTCCCTCCTCGTGAATTGCGCGATTCAGCGTGGGGTTGGGAGGTTATAGTTCCAGCGGTGATTGCGTTTTAATCGCTTCCACCTTCCCGCCTGCTTAGACCTAGCGGTATTATTACATGCCATCCGGAACTCACACGCACGTTTACCGAACTACAAGCCCTTGAACACCGCTGCGACTATAATATTACCCTATCGAACTGACCTTATATCTTTCATTCTTAGTAGTGGGGATTTCCAGATGCTTTTTTCAAAATCAGGGGAGGTAAAATGACTCTTTCGGCTTTCTGTCGTAGTCCTTGTCCCCCCCCCCCCACCCCAGTTTGCTTTACCGCCACACTAAATGGCGTGCATCTCGCACTTGGTTTCACGGTTCGGAGTCGGATTTCTGCGGTCTAGTATGATACTAGTGCTGTTACTCTCTACAACCTTATCGAGGAAGGCTACGTAAGGTCTTCAATCGCTCATTGAGAGGGGGGGTGTGTGGAACGGGGCTCCTTCTAGTTGAAAAACGATCAACTACTTCTCGAGATGTTATCCTCCACTTGAACTAGATAGATATTCCGCATGACATTACCGTGGGAACAGACCCTATCCTACCGATATACGGTTTTCTTTTTTTTGCCCCCAGTTCGCGGTATTGTTGTTTAAAATTACAGGAATAGATACCTTCTCGTATGGGGGGGAGGAGGGGATTATAAACCACTGATAGGTAAAACACAGCTATCGTGATATCCATGGCTGAAAAATACGACCCCTCTTTAAACCCGAGCAGCACGACCCTCACTCTCCGAACACTAACTGACCCGTCGGCTGGACGCATTTACAGGCTAGATGGTAGAAACGTTAAACCGACCTCTCGGGCCCCTCCGCCATTTCCGGACCGCTACTGCACCGTATGCGGAGTGCTGCTACTACGACTGTAGTATTGGTTTAGTTGGATAAGTTAACGATTGGGCTGGGAAGGCTGGTCAGAGGGGGAAGTGAGTCAACCGGTGGGAATGCAGCGGAAATTTCAAAATCTGGAAATCTCAATTACCGCATGGCAGTAGGGAGGGGAAGGAAATTCGGGAGAGCAGGAGATCCCCCTGATGGCACAATATGTTGGATATTCCCTTTTTTTGTGTGCTGTTTTGGGAGTTTTGGTTTTCGTGAAAACACTGGGGTGAGGGTTTGGGCAAAATTCATATAAGGAATTATTCACTTCAGTGTCTGGCCCTCTTCCGGGTTCAATATGTTAGTCTATTGCCCAACTGGGATGTTCCCCCCCCTCATTTCTTCTTCTTTCTAGTGCACTACATTACCTGATCATGTTACATCTCCCGGCTTGGGGCGAGTAATATCCCACCTTCTTAGACCAAACATGCACAAGATGTACCGTGCTGCCATAGAATTCCCGTAGGAACCCCCCCCCGAGAGAAACAGGAGCTGAAGGAGCCTCGAGAATCATAGAAATAGGGGCAGAAACACATCTCGCAGGAGTGCTTCCAGTCACATTATAACGTCAAATATTGTTTTGTCGCCGGGTCAGCCTCCAGTTGTGACACTACTGATGTGGTATAACTAGGTTGACATCCTGGACGTATGCGTTAACGCATATCAATACCCCCCCCCCCAGAAGTCGGGCATCAATACCAGCCCGCTAACTTAAACTCCCGGCAGTCTAAAAGGAGTTTAGTATTACTTTGGGAGTTGGAAGGGCATAACGCTAAAGTGCGAGCCTTTAGCAGAGGAGTTAGGACAATGATTCTTCCATTTTTTCATTTTTTTCATTCTTTCGCAGCACCTACCTCCTAGTGAGCAATAAACTCTTTTCTCTGGCCCTTGTCTCGAGAAGGATTGAAATGCCTCTTTAGGTCTGCTGGTAGCTACACTGGCCTATTTGGCACTAGGTGGGGGAACGAATCGGGTAGGTTCCGACGAGGCCAAAAATTTAAAGGGTTTCGAGTGTGTTCGCACAGTAGCCCACAAGGGATTGAATTTGTAGGGGTTTGGATTGAGGGGAGGGAGATCCTGGACGACATCGTAGAGGGACCGTCGGGGGAGAGGAGGGAGGCAATATGCTATGGTGATTAGAACCCTCTCATGAGCAGGGACTAAATTCCTAGTTTTTCACTAGTTATTCTCCCCGTACGGACTATGTAGATCACGGTCAAATTATCTCTATCCCTTCGTCCTGACTATCTCCATAAAAAGAGGAATGGATAATGCAAGAGTATATACATACAACTAATGAACGTAACCTAGCTCCATCAGGCTCACAATACATACCCCGAGTCCTCCGGTCACTTTCACCATCGCGGGGGAAAGGCCAATATGGAAAGAATTCTCCGTAAATGACGAAAAAGGGGGGGGGGACCACAAACAGCGCTCCTGAAACATACGAAATCATTGAAAGACAGGAACGGTCCTGTATTGCCAATAGGTCGTCATCTTATCCAATCTCATAGTGGTGGCATGACGAATGGAACCTCCGGCCCGGGATTCGAATTAGCAGTACTCTTCGCCCGTCTCTCCATAACCCTTTTCATCCTTCTCTCTTGCCTCCGCTGCCGCTCAGTAAAATACTCTTCCAACTGCTTGCGATTCTTGACTTTGGCTAAAAGTTTGTCTTGCTGGTGAGGAGAGTCGAGAGCCAGATACCGTGCCAAATGGTCCATGTCGATTTGCGGTAGAATACAGGATTCATCATCGAGGGGCCTCCTACCCCCCATGCAATTGAGACACGAGTCCATAAACTCTGGGATGGTTGGTATGTGGACGGGAAATGTGATCCGCTCATCCCCCACGAATTTGACGTTTTCATCGGAAATCAGATAGGGCCGGACACTCCGGTCTGAGGCGTTGGGATGAAATTCTAACTCCACCAGTGCGCTGTTATAGTTAACGACATGCGGGACTTGGACCTTCTCGGTGTCGACTGTAAGGCGGTAGGAGTCCTCATCGCAGAGGCTAATGTACCACATATCATCGTACCTCTTCAATCGCCGGACGGAGCGATACTCCACCAGGTCACCCCCGGTATCGACTCTTGGCATGCTGGATTCGTCGACTTCTAGCCACTCACCAGTTTTGACGAATGCTTGGCATATGGATGCCTCTTGAGAGGTTCGCACCAGGATATCCACCGTCTAACACAGCCACGTTAACTATAGGGAGTGGATTATTATGAGGGAAGAGGAAAGGTCATGCATACATATCCCGTATCTACTGGAACCCCCATCCACCGTAGCGCATATTTCCCAACCATGACGAAAGGATGATCATGGGCGTTTAGGACCGCAAAAACAGAGTCCAGGGAAGCAGGACTTTGCGACCAAGCTCGAGACATTGAGCTGCACACCACGCGCGTTGTGGGCTGTGACGAGTTTCGGAATCTTGGTGGCCACAGCTGATCTCGCAGTCTGCGGCGGTGGTGGTGGTGATGGTGTTGCTACGAGTACTACCATATCATAGCACCTCCAGAACCATAAAACCCCTATCATAATAATATTATACATAATTTTATACAGCACCACAAACCCCACCCTACGTCACAACCCCACACTAGGGTTTGTCAGTAAGACATGAGTGGGAGATTTTCGAGTGCCTATTATGATATTTCACGAAAGAAAAAAAGCCTTGGAAAACAGAAGATAGTCCGGAACACCGGTGCAATTCTTGGCGATTTTTTATCCGCTCCGCGCACGAGGTGAGGGGTGCTTGAGGTGTCCATGCCGATTGCGATGTATCTTCTGCACGGCACCATATAAAGCACGATACAGGACCCCTGTCTTGGCAGGTACCAGTGCTCTACAGTAGCATAATACCTTGTCAGCCGTGAAGAAGAGGGTTGCGGCAACTATTTTTTTTCCTTTCGATTTTCTCTTCGTGGCAGCTTCGATAAAACTCTCTAAATTCTGCTGGATCCGGTAGCTCCAACCTGGAGTTTTGGTCTTGGGCTCCTTGACATGGCGTACGATTAGAGAGCTTGCGCCCGCAGACCTAGGTGGCAGTAAATTTTGTTAATATATCATATGTTATGCTAAAAGGTTTGGAGACCTGGGTACCCAAGTGCACCTAGTCGAGGCCCAAAAGTCAACCTTAAGGACCCGGAGCAAGTTTCTAGATAACGATGTCAAAAATATACAATGCCAACATATTTCTATGGATACCAGGGAGAGCTAAGTGCAAAGCACCTCTGAGAGAAATAAATAATATGAAAAATATGATAGTCATGTGATAATGTTGATTCTACATTCTCTGCTCTGGCTATCAACACCTCACATTGCACTCAGCTGTTGTAACCCAGCTGCCAAGTCACCTAGATCCAATGCGCAAACTCTTCCCGGCATCCAGGTCCTTTTTGTGGTAACTGCCACCTAGGTCTGTGGGCGCAAACTCTCTATTCAGCATCGTGCGGGCATGGAGACGCAAGACAACTCAAAGCTCGAGTGACACCTTGTGAAAACTCCTTGACCTCCCATAATCACGTGACCCAACGCGAAAAGAAAAAAAGAAAAAAAGATCCCCACCACCACCACCCCACCTTAAATAAAACTCCCAACGCTAAAAACACCCGGAGAAGAAGGATATAAATAAAAACCCCTTCCCCTTCTCTTCTTCCAAACCCGCAATGTGAAATGACGGACCGCCTCGCATCGTTTGCAGCGCGTCTCTGCCTCACAGCAGAAGTAATGACTCGCCGGGGCGCGAGCATCCACCGACAGAATCAAGTCGTTCGATCCCTCTGGCCAGGGGCGCTGTGCCACCAGGTAGGCTCGTTCCCCACGAGAACCAGTTTGATGAGTAGGTGCGTGTACAGCTTTTCTTTCCGCTCCTCCTCCCCATCACCTGCGCGATGGAATCGGTCGGGACTGACGATGGGATGGATGAGCAGTGATGTCGACCTTCTCGTCTCCATCCCTGGAATGGATGACGAGCGGAGAGGCGTGGTTGAGGCGGCCACCCGTATGAAGGATGCTGTCGCCAAGAATAATATCTCCAAGCCGTGGAATTGCATGGTGATATCGGGGGCTAGGGTCCCCATATTGACGTACATGGATGAGAACGAGACGCCGCCACTTAAGTTTGATATATCGTTTCAGAAAGATAACGCGGTCAAGAATACCACGTACTTGATTGAGAAGTTTGACGAGAGGCCGTTTATGAGGGATATTGTCATTCTTTTGAAGTATTGGTGCGTTCTTCCCTTCTCCTGGCTTTCATTGTGGGTTATGCGAATTGGATCGGATGCGGGCGATTTACTTGGAGTGAATCTAGGCTACGGGAGAAGCAATTAAACGAGGTCTATAAAGGCGGTTTGGGGTCTTATTGTGTGTCTTTGACGGTTATTGGTTTTTTTAACGTATTGATACACGATCCCCCCCGAGTTCGGGTGGCCCGCTTTCCGGAGCTGACTGGAGCGGCGGCGTTAGTTCAAACGAAGGACCTTGGGTTGGCAAGAGTATGAAGCCTTCATCGCCGGTCCTAGGTACAACATGTTTGTGGAGTATCTCGAATTCTGGACAAGCTGGAGATATAGGGAAGATACGATGATTCCGGATCCTGGGGTGATACTGACAAAGGTACTACGGCCCGTTATTCCATCGCAGAATTACTGTTATTGTTGCTAATCCTGCACACAGGGACAAAGCACGAGAAAGCCGTTAGGATTCATGCTCCGAATCATAGATCCCACCGACCCGGAAAACGACGTCGGGAAGGGATCCCACAAGATTCCCAGGGTCGTCCGCGCAATGGTAAAGCTGAAACAGGCGATACAGCGCCTCGGGCCGGACATGGAGTTCCCGGCGCTGGACCGAGTGCTCAGCGGCACCCCGGCGGAGAAGGAGATGTTCCTGACACAGAAGGCTCACCAGGATCGCAACAACCGGAAGATGCAACTGCAGATGGAAAGGAGGCTCAGGAGGGCGGAAAGGAACGCGGAGAAGGCGGCGGAGAGGAGAGGGAGGATAGGCCCAGCGGTACAGAAGTCCCTGGAAAAGCTCAGAGAGAAGCATGAGCAGTTCATCACCAGGAGACCAACTCTCGCCGTCGAAGTGGCTATGGAAGAGTTCCTGCGTAAAAACCCTGGTAGCTCCGAGCAGGATCTTCCAGGCCTCAGACACGGTCCCGGCCCGGGCGACAGAGGGGCGGAATCGGCCACAACGAATGCCGGGAGTCCTGTTCCCATGGAGGATACGGGGAAATCTCCTGAGCAACTGGAAAGGGAAGCAAAGCATGCTGCCACTATAGAGAAGAAACGGCTGAAGAGGGAGAAGATGCTTCAAAAGCGGGAGGAGAGGAAGAGAGAAAAGAAGGAGAGGAAAGTGCGGAAAAGAATGGAAGCCGAGAGGAGGAAGCAGCTGGCGGAGGAAGAGAAATTGGCCAACGGGAGGGAAAGTTGCTAAGAGAGTTAAAGGAGAGGAGGCTGGCGATTTACGGGAGGTGCCGAAGGCAGGGCTTGAAGGCGGACAATGTAACCGAACAGTGGTAGTTGAAGGGTGCTGTGTATAAAAAAGTTGTAACAAAAGTTTCTCATGATTAAGGCTTCGTGGGCGCTGAGCAGGATACGATACTTTCTTTAGACAGTTTTATGGTAATACCCATACCAGACGCAGGATGCATACATGCACGATCACGCATCATCACGCTGTACTACACGCCCACGAGAGTCCCCACGATATAATAAGCCCGTATTCCCCATTTTAGTTAATTACAATCCGACTCCCCCGTGCCGACCGGCACAAGTAATCGCAACAAAGCGCATAACCTCCTACCCATTCAATCACCATCCCCGCGCCTCCCACCCACCCAGCGGTCCATCACTTCCTCTTCGCAGGAGCGCTCTTCTGCACCTCAGTACTCTCTTCCAATCGCCTAACATAAGCCTCCACCCGCTGAATCGAAGTCCTCAAAGCCTACACATAAGATCCCACAATCAGCCCCCCCCCTCCCCACCCAAATCGAACCACCAACACGGAGAATAGGAGGAAGGAAGGAAGGAAGGCAGCAAAGCAAACCTCGACATCCTCCGTCAAGAGTTCGTTGGAAACTCTATACTCCTCAAGCAAGTAAAAGTACGCCGCGCCTCCAGAAACCGTTGATCCCAGGAGAAACCCAAACAATCTATTCCCCACCCCACCCACCCACCAATCCATATAAATCAGTTTACCCAGTTCAAAACCCGCCAAATGAAGTGGAAAGGGAGGGGGAGGGGGAGGGGGAGCAGTAAAAAGAACGCACCCTCCTCTAAAAGCCCCGATGGGCCTCTTTTTAGGAATTGCCCCTGGAGCGGTACCGCTCGTGGCTTGACGGTAGACACTCGAGGTGGTGAAGGTGCGGCGGAGTGGGTGCGGGGCGCGAAGCAGGGGGAGGAGGAGGAGGTTGCGGGATGTTTGGGATAACATTGCTGTTTACGGCTCTTGACCGACGCGGGGTGGTAATGGACGGATGGATGATGCAGTACGAGTACAGTACGGTCAGTCAGTCAGTCAGTCAGTCAGTCAGTCAGTCAGTCAGTCAGTTCCTCGGCGGTGGTGGTGGTCGTGTGGGATAGGAATACGGTATGGTACGGTAACGGTGCGGTACGGTACAAGTGCCGAACTATCAAAATCGATCAGATTAGATTTCTTCTCTCTATCTCTATCTCTCTTTTTTCTCCCCTTTCGTTTCGTTTGGTTGGTGGCGGGGGGAAAGGGGGGGGTGGGGGTGTGGTTGCTACGAGCACGAGTATGATGTAGACTAGTACCGTTACCGGTATGCTACTAACTAATACGATGGAGGGGACTTTTTCCCGGAAGAAAAGAAGAAGAAAAAAACTTGGCTTGTTGGAAGCTTACCGGTCTGTTCCTACCATAACGTACTTTATTCCATAACTGGAATTACCCCCCAATCCCCCATAGGCAGAACGGATGAACGGTTCAAACAAATCAATAGAAAAAAATAGAAAGAAAGAAAAAAAAAAGGGTCCGCCCACATTCCAACGTTTACGGTAGAAATAAATAAGTTTGGTGTAGAGATGTGTGATAAAGTGTGATGGGGATTCCAACTCCTTTCCTCCCTTAACTTATCCATTAAATATTTATCGCACCCTACCGATACAAGTTTTTCATACGATACTCGTATATACCGCACACAAAGATGGGACCGGAATTCAATTGATGCGGAAGGAAAGAGAGGGTAGAAAATAAAATAAAAAAATAAAAAAATAAAAAAAGAAGGGGGGGTATGGTTATTATAATACCGGTATGCACCGTGGTATACTTACAGTATATATAGAAAAGGGAAGAAAGAAAAAGAAAAAGAAAAGAAAAAAAAAGTTCGGATAATTGCTATCTAACATCTACTCGTTATATATCCATCCATCCATCCATCTCGAGGGACCTAATTATTGTTTTTATCATTATTATTATTATTATTATTATTATTATGAGTTAGGGGTGGAAGAAGTACTGTACGAGTACTAGTACTTTCCTTTCCATCATACCTCTTTCGATCATAGACCGGAGTACCGTACCGTACCATTATAAGCGTTATCCATTTCGTTTCATTTATCAATCGTGAAACTTTGAGCGATGAAAGAAGGGAAGCTCCCAACCATCTTTGACGAATGTGAGTGATATTCTCATGGCATTTTTTCAACATTGACCTCCCTCCCCCCCCCCCCCCCCGATTCGTGTGTGTCGATGGTTACAGTACCAGTACTGTGCGCTACCCGCAGCCCGGGTGGTGCGGTGTGGTGTATGTATTGTAGTCTATCACAGTTCTACCGGTTAAAAAAAAAAATCGGATATAGTATATATGCATCGTCGGGATGACATGCCCCGGCGGCCGTTCCTGCTACGGGTGAAGGCGCGATTCCTAACTAACTAACTCGAGCGCCGGTACGATAGGGTACTATGGAATAAATAAATAGGGTCCTTGGGGTTGGACAATTCCCGCAGAGCCTCAGGTGCGGATCACTTTAATTGAACTGCATTTTTCCCACACTGGTAACACGTATAATGCTGTGCATACTTGCGTCTGTAAGGTGGCACCCAGTGCTACTCCTGCAGTGTGCTAACCATTCTACTCGCACACCAACTTTATATATATATATATATATTATATACATATATATTTCCAATCCCAATCCTGCAAACGCCTATCCAATGCGCATCGCTAGAAACATTTTTCCAAGAGAAAAAAAAGAGAAACCAAACATCCAATGAGTCGTCCAATTCCCCCACCCTCGCTCGTCAGCGGGTATTGCTTAATTGGCTAGCTGGCAGGTTATGTAGCGTGGAGTTATGATAGGATCTACACATCTTTATCCTTCCCGGCATACAAATGCCCTATAATCGGCTGGTCCACCGGGAGACTCGACAGAGAGCAGTGGCCAACCTCTGATTCTGCGGTGGAGCCTGACTTGACTGGTACAGCGCCCCACATTAGCGGCTCATAGGATGCGTCCATGTCATCCTCCGGTGGGTGACATGCTGCAGCGATCGCAGCAGAACAACTACCGGCGAGCGGCATGCCAAAGGGATATTTCTTCGAGCCCGCGGTGAACAGGACTATTAAGTGGATGAATCCGCTGACCATTAGCAACGTTATTCCTACCACCTATAGTGCATGCCTGATCAGCTACGCCCCATAGAGCGAGGAATTGAGGGGGAGATCGGGAGAGGGCGTACAGAATATCCCACTGTGGAGACGACCTTAAAGGTCTCGCCGAGTGGACTGAAGACTTCGAACTTTGCTAGGAAAATTCCCTGCGATGCGCAAAGATGAGTTATGGACTTTAGTGCCATCAGCGGTAGGGAGTAACGGAAGGGCAGTTGAAGCCAGTATGTTGATCGTTGCTGGCCGATTGGCCGCGATACACGGAGCGGTTTACGCCTTACTGCAAAATCCATCCATTCCTTAGCCATAAACATACTGGTGAATATACCGTTGTAACTAATAACTATTAGCCGATGGGCCTCTGGAGGTTCTCGGGGGACGCACGTCAGGTATAAGAACGATAGCACCACTTGCGGAGAATTGGCTAGGAAAATGGGAACTATCAGTCCTCCATCCCTGGAACTGAGAACTGACGAAGTGGTTTGTGCTCCAAACCCACGCTTCACTCTACATGATGGTTAGCCGGATGGACCAAGTGATGGGCTAGGACACCCACAGCGACTTGAGGTCTGTTTCCATGCCATTCCTCACATCCTTCGCGTATCCGGTCCCAATGAAAATTGCCGATAGGGATATGATGCCCACCCAGGTCCCCACGGTGATGGACCACCTCCTCTTGGATGGCGCATGCCACCACCTCCATTGCTCCAGCGTGTACGGCTTTGGTGTCGGCTGAAGCTCCCACGATGACTCCGCCATCGCCTTGTCAGCTAGACACCTTCTCAGGGTGGTGATGTCCGGCTCTTTGAGAAAAGACTCAACAGCATCCCCCATAAATACAAGTGGCACAGTCTTCATCCTGAAGGCGGCCATCGCCATACCGATCGCCTTGAGCAGATTCGCGATGATGACAACCGTGAGAATGCCGACGCTGAACTGCAGCTTGCATTTCTTCAGGGATTTTTGCCCTCTGCACTCGGTGATGGTGTGTCCCCGAACCACCCAATCACCATCCGGGATATCCCTCTCCCCATCGTCAGCCCCCATCTCGCAGTTCTTCGGGAAAGCGTAGCCAGTTTCGTTCCAATTGTTAACATCTACCAACGTGCTCTCGTTCTGGCACATCCAGTAGTGCTTGTGCTCCATAGAGTTGTACATGATCACCGACATCAGAGAAGAGTTCTCTTTGGGCTCTGATGAGGAGACCAACACCAGATTCTGCATGTCTCCCAGAAGGGGCTGCGAGTACTTTGCCCTACATTCTTTCGTATCCATTTTATTCCATGTCCCGCCCTCCTCACTCATGATCCGAGTTGCTTCCCGCATCTGCTCAAAATTGTATTCCGGTATCCAGACATCCACCATCTCTTTCATGATTTTCACAACCACGGAATCCGAACGATTCGTAGTGTTATAGAAACTCTCTTCGATCCGAACATTGCCAGTGCGGATGCTTTCGTGCCCGTAAGTGTAATGGCCGACATAGCGTTCCCACGGCTTGTGCGGGTTCCAGAATGTGTAATTGAAACCCTCCACAAACGGCTCTACAATGGCGGAACCCATTGCGCCGGCCCTGAGGCCGCTTATTACGTGACCGGTCTGGTTATATGAGGTTCCGTTAAAAAAGTCCGGCGTGACTATCCCCACATAATAGTTGTTTAACGACAGCGTGGAAAAAATGGCAGAGTTGAAGCTGATCGGAGGAAACACATTAGCAGAGCCCATAGTGCAGAAGAGGATGGGGCAAACTCACAGCAGGTGCATGGGAACGCTTGTAAATCCCAGTGTCCACCAGACCCACACCCTTATCCTCTCCATCCGGTGCAAATGGCCTACTCTCCTGCTGAAATTTTAGCACCCGTATCCGATATAATTCAAGGGAATCGTTCCATACTTCAGATTCCTGAGGCTAGGTATCCCAATATCCAACCAGTCCCTTCCAAACCCTGTCAGTTCATTCCTCCAAAAATCATAAACCCCGGACCACGCGGGATACTGACTTCGTCTCGTGAGCTGCATCAATCTCCCCCCTTGTCGGCGCGCTCAAGACCTGCTGCGTGTAATGGCTACCGGCCAGTAATATGGAAGAGATGAAATTGATACCCACATGCGCCCAGATACTAATCTTCTTCATCTCATCACAATCGCCCAAGTACAGCGTCCCCAACCCAGTATTCTCTGGAGGGTATGCGAGAACAAAATACATTGTGATCCCGAGCGTAAAAAGAAATGTGGTGGCCGCGATGCTAGCACACATCTTGACGCCCGTCCTCCAGGAAACCGAACCATCCAGGATTGCCGCCACAGGGCCCTTCAGTATCGAAAACCTAGAACTCGAGGTAGACAGCCTGGATCGGACGGTCGACGGCTTCTCTCCCGGATAGAGCGAGTCCGATGAAGGCGACGGTGCCTCCAAATCATCTAAATCGCTGCCCCCATCTTCGATTAATCTAAAAATTCACCACTGATTAGTGCCTAGCAATTAGCTCTAGTGCAGGCACATCATACTCACCCCCTCGTTTGCGCCCCGAAAAATAGCTTCGACTCATCATCATCCCTCCAACTCGATCTCCCGCCTGCATCACCTTTGTCATCAGTCAGAACTCCCTGGTATAGCTCGATACTAGCGTTTGACCCGCGCCGCCCGCTCCCTCGGCGACCCTGAGACATAATCGAAAACTATCCCCGAGAGCTCCGGAAGATTCTGGGAGAAGGTGTGAGGAAGAAAAACCTTTGCATATATACTTCCCCTGGAATCACGAACAGCTCCTTAGGAATGCTGTGTAGAACAGGTTCACGTCAGTGAAGCCGAGCGATCCCACGGCTTAAAAGCAACGGAGCCGGAGAAGCTGGGGGCGCTTACTTGGATTGGCCAATGCGATGTAGACACTGTTCTTCTCAGCCTTACGATAGCGCATTTTTCCAACCGAAAATCTTCACAGCCACATCGCGGAAGCGACCAATAAAAACCCTACTTGTCGGGACATAGAACCCCACGGCTAAAGAACAAAATATACTAGATATACGGTATATCTATCTTTGCCATACCGTATTAACTTGAATAAGAGCAACACATCTCGGGACGTCTGACTTGCCTATTTTGGTAGGGACGGGAGAAAATACCAGCAAAATAAAACCACGCGTTACCAAGAGGGGAAACCTAGACGTCCCGAGCGGTGTTGCTCTTATTCAAGTTCATACGGTAGTGTTTCTTAACCTACGTGCAGCACTCGAGTACTCGGGCTCAACCGAACCACACGGTAGGCAAGATGTTGGTGAGAGTGGGGGAGAGCTGAGCCCAGTACGGTATAGGTATGATACAAGCGCCCTGCAGGGCCAAGAAATACCAAAGCCGGTGCTCTAGCCGAATTCCCATCGTGATTCAAGGGAGTGGCTTTCCAACAAAGGCGCACGGGAGCGCCAGCATTAGAGGAGGGGAGCTCGCGCTTGGACAAGGAGCTCCATCAGCTGCATCCCGAAGGTTTTAAGCGACCGGTAAACAAATCCGACAACAGGCCATGTCGAAGATTCACAAACGAGTGATTTATGATGATGTGCGATTGGTATGATAACAAGTTCCAATTTTTTTCGAGACCTTGTTCCTTTCACACGCTTCCCCCTCTGACTATACCCGACATGAGAGCTTGCGTGCTATACTCTCGGTCACAGGAGGCGGTGTTCCATCCGAAGTGAAAAATTCCTAGCCATTGCCCCAAGCACAGCCCAAGAAGAGGGGAGTCATAAGCTTACTTTTACGAAACAAGGCAACGGACCGCAACCCAGGAGCATGGAAGATCGGGAGAGGGTAGACAGGTTTCTTAGTGGGCCCATAAACATACACCAAGTTTATCGAAATGTGTAGAACACGAGGAGCACCCAAAGGGTACACAGGGAGTGTGTGGAGATGGCCCAGTCGAAAAAAAAACACCAAATCAAAAAGACAAGGGCACGAGAGGAAACAGACCGCCGGGATCTATCGACATGCTAGTGCGATCCCCTGAGAGAACCCGAATTCCCTCCCATGAATGAACTCCCGTGAACCGATAGCACTCGGATCGAGAACACGAAATATCGGAATTGCTGCCATGCTCTAGCTACACTCCCGGCCTTTGACCCATCAACGCCAACACGGGACATCCTCATGCGGCGCCAAGGTAGCTTCCTCTCTGAATGTGGAAGCCACCGTATATTCGTATACCGGTAGAGGGTGCTCAACAGCCACCCGGGGACCTTTGAATAACGACTCGAGCGGGTGCAGGCATACGGCGTAAGTTAGCCTGCATCTACCGAATTCTCTCAACCTCTAAGAGGGCGACGGTCCCAAGTAAATCCAAACCCATCATGTTCACAGCGCGAGGTAGTCAAAGCCTGAAGGAGAGCCTTAATCTTGCGCTGGCGACCGTACCTTAGCAGGGGCCCTTCCAGAACCTTGGGGAGCACGAATTTTCCCCAATTTTTTTCGTGCCCCCGTCACAGAAGTATCTTGGAGGGATATAATAGGGCTGATTTTGTAGTTGATATGATAATGAAACCCCTTTCCCCTTTTCTTTTCTTTTCTTTTCTCTTTTCTCTTTTTTTTTTTCGCGCACGTCCGGGCCGCACCCGTTACCAAGGACACGGATTTTCGTAGTCCCTAGCTATGAGGAAGGCTACCGTAGACCAACCCGTCCAACCACGTCGCCCCGGATCAATAACGGAACCGCATCTTGTGAAAAAAAATACGCCCGGCACGCAGCCCTGGAATGACAGGCCAACTCTACATCAAAGAGTCGTGGAGCGTCATAGATCTCGAAAAGTTTTCCCCAAGGCGACACGAAGGTTAGAGACCCCGTCCCCAAGTCAGAGAACATAAAGAGGCTGGAAGAAGCACTGACAACTGAACGCTATGACCCGAGGGGCCGCTCTCAATTTTCTCTATGATCGGGACCAAGAATTAGGAATTGGGATGATTGTGTAAGCGTTTTCGCCCAAGGAGGATCTTTGCGAGGGAGATGCTTGCAGGGCTGCAGGGTGCATGGTGCGCGTGAATTAGCCATGTCGTAGGAAGTCATTGCTCGGCAGTCCGAGCCACATGTTCCATCATCATCACGCTTCAACCGAGCTCTAGAGAACTCGAGGCAGAGTAAGGTACTGTACTCGCACTCACAGCTGAGAGCACCTAGCACTGTCAGCGCTGAACCGCGACAATAGAGTACCGGTAGACATGGAATTCCGGGGGTTTTTTTTTCGTGGGGAATGGGGGAATCGGGGAGGAGGAAAAAAAAAGAAAAGGAAAGGGAAAAGACTGCCGTACTATATACCAGCAAGTTTCTAGAGGCCAGTGGATAGCATACTCTAGCAAGGCACAGTGCACGATTACAGTTCACAAGTGTGGTGGTGTCTGTCAAGAAATCCGTAAATCTATCACGCTTTGTGTATCCTACGGTGGCATGTGTTGTGCCAATCCGGCCGCGCCTGACTCCCTCCGGTGCCCACTGATCTTCCGAGTCCGGGCTGAGAGTACGGTACTCGAGTACAGTACAAGTGAAATGGGAAGAGGGAAATTTTGGTTCATGAACCAACCGCCACCCGCCGACCTCTCGATAAATAGCGGTATGATAGCATGATACCGGTATACCTCGCCGCCGGAACATCTCGATTCTGCCCGTGTACTAGTACGGTATTATACGCTAGTTTGCGGCCCTTGTCCTAACACTGTGGCCAGTAGAGTATTGTAGTTTCCTTACTAAGCCCGAACAACGGTTCCCTTCTTTTTGTCAATCGACTCGACCGATGGGTTACAAGTACTACACGCACAGCACTCCCTCCTTCCAGAACAAACCCGGCGGAACAAGGTGAGCTTGTCGGTGCTGGAATGAATGAATGGTATAAACCCCGACGATTGAAAGCAATCAACAAAAATAGCACAGCTAGGGTTCCGAACAGGGCCACAAGTCCGGAAAATTACTCAAAGGGGTTAAAGCAGGAATTGGAGCCATGAGGAATCGCGGGAGCTCTAATCAGTGGAGTGACGAACCCCATATTTCTTTGCTATCATAAGTAACCATGCACCGGGCGTGGGGGCATGCACATTGTCGCCGGCGAACCACAAGCCCAGCCCCTTCCCCCCATTTTCTTTAGCACCCGGATCAGAGCCCGTCGGTTGAGTCGGGAGCTCTCTGGAGAAGTCGAGAGTCGACCTTTATCAGAGTGGTCCAAGTGTTGTACCGAAAAGTCAAAGCAAGATCCATTCCTTACAGTACGGATCCGTCCACTCCCTTCCCCCCCCCCCCGGGGAAGTGTGGAGGGCGAGCTAAAAGGTAGTAAGATGAAGGTAGTGACGGTGGTGACGGTGGTGGTGCAGAGCATGCCAGGGGAGGCAGGGTGCCTGTACTAGTACTGTACGGGTACCGTATCTATACTGTGTTGTGCTCTGATCTGCGGGAGCCGCCAGACTACAGTGCAACGGGCAAGGAACAGACATCCTCTCCCACGTTATTTACTCGGTTGGCACTCCACCATCATTGCGAGATGCAAGCGAGAGAGATCTTCCTGCTCGAGCTTGCCAAAGGGAGGAACCCCCCGAGGAACCCGGTTGACCGCAAGGGAATGGATAGCACTGTTCGCCATTCGTACTCTGCTGCTCGGTGATAACAGTAGCGTGTATCAATTGTTGAAGCCCAAACCTCACCTAACAGATGCGAGTTGTGAGGTACAGTATTACCGGTATCTCTCCGAGCGAAGGCTCGCATCCAACAGGATAAAAAATCATATCCCCCCCAAAAAAAAAAAAAAAATAAGACCCACGAAGGAGAGTTATGATACCAACGGCCAGGTATCATGACGTCCCTCCCTGCTGCAAGAACAGGAACATTCTGAGATGCCCTTGGCAGGATGTGCAAGGACAGCTCAACCCCTCCCATTAATTGTCCCTTTTTTCCCTTCCCCGCCTTCGCCAGCAAAACCTTTTTCTCAATGAATTGTGAGTTTTCTTCTCGGCTTTTTTTTTTCTTCACTTTTCTTTTCTTTTCCCTTCCCTTCCTCCCTCGCTTTTGGCATTCCTTCTCCGACCTTTCAATAATAGAAATGTTCGTGCTGTCTTCTCCTGTGCACTCCTACGTGGCAGCCACCCTCCGACCCATGTTTGAAGGTTCCGGCGGAGGAAAGGGGCAGCGGTTGCATTTTGGGACGTCTTCTACTTCTTCCCCAGGCTGCTTGTAAACGCTGCTTGTTGCACAGGTCGACACAGGGAGAGTGGGACGCCTTACTTCAAAGAAGGCCATCTGAAACCCGAATTACAAAAGCTTCCGTTTCTCCTACATTGCGATTATTGCAAAAGGGCTGTGATGCTTTCTCGTACTGTAGGTGCATGATATTCCCGTCGTTCGAGAGAAGGCCTTTTTCGCTATTCTCATCCTCCACCTTGGAACAACGCAGCGTCGCGGTAGGAGGAGCGGCGCAAAGAAGCAGCCAGCCCCGTTAAAAGTCCTTCGTTCCCTTAATGACAGCCTCGAATCAGGAGGGGCAAGCTATCCCAAGACAGTGAATGTTCACGTGCGCATGATGGATTAATTATTGAAGCCAAAGCCGATTCTCCTCCATTTCTCGCTCACTCGCGCAAGGGAAAACATGACGTGCGCCTAACAATTGGTCTCCCCTCTTCCACAGCAGTTCTAACGACGAGCAGCTCGGTTGGTTGGGTTGTTGGCCGGGTCAAGAACTTGTACGAGGGCAGTAGTGGTACCTCTTTCTTTCTTTCTTTCTTTCTTTTCTTTTCTTTTCTCTTTCATTTTTATTTTCCCATTCTTCCACTCCTCTGGCTCCAAGTTAGCTCCCACTCCTCTTCTTTTCCTCTCTTTAATGACGGTGGGTCAAATGTCGCCTCTAAGGCTTTTCATTAAAGGGAAACCCCCGAGTCCGAGTTCAGCCTAGAAACATAGCAACCTGCAGCTACAGCTTTATTACCCAAATTTCACTTCCCTAAAAGCTTAGTTCCCACATTGTCTACCGTACAAGCAGACTTACCGTAGACGGCTTCCCCGGTAACTGTGATACCGTACATCTGATACCGCCCATCCCCATCCATAGCTTAGTCAATGGTACAAGTATCATAGGGTCCGGGATTGAGGAGCGGTGGGAAACGGTGCCGCGAGAATTGGCGACGACGGATGAGGAATAACTCGTCCGTGAGCTGCGCTGCGCTGCCGGTGCTCCTGCCATTTTTACTATTGATCATGGCGCTCCGGCTCTATGGGCGGGAGCCATGGAACTGTGTGTGTGGCACGAGGTCCGTCAAGCTACCTCGTACTCGTAGCTCATCCTTCGCCAGTGCCGGTCCCAGTCGCTCCAAGCTTTGCTCTCTCTCTCTCTCTATTCAAGCCTCATTCCCTCCCCCGGATGAGATATTCGAAATACTGGCCCTCCACTCCTCCCCTCTTTGACCTCTCTGGCTTTCGACTCGAGCACCGAATTCCTAGCGCGGAACTACCTTACACTCGGTGATCCAGGAATCTGAGCAGTTGCACCTTTTCTCTTCTCCTCTTCCTTCTCGAAGCGATAAGCTCCCTGCATCCCTGGGCCGCCTTGGGGTTGTGCAGATCAAGAGAGACTGTAACCCACAACCCCATAACCCCCCCCCCCCGCGGTCATAGAGGACCCTGAGTAAACCCTCCCCGAACGAATAGAGTCCATTTAACGAGCCCTTTCGGGGTTGACCTTTTCCCTCTAAAATTTTCAAAGGAGAAACGGAATTCCTCAAAAAAGGTGAGAGAAAGGAAAAAAAACTTTACTATACCGACCCAACCTACGCCCGCCAGAAGCACTTCTCCTGTGCTTGGTGCGTTGCCATTCTTTCTCTGTCGGTAACAATTGAAGTTTTTGGCCGCTGCGGGCAGTCACCCCCGTCAGCAGCCAACTCCAGGTACAATTTGACCTTCAACAGTCTTCCCCCCACCACAACTACCACCTCGTACGCACCACCTTTCCCACCCACTCCCACTCCTCTTCCTCTTAACAACCTCCACCTCCACCTCCACCTCCACCTCCACCTCCTCCCCCCACCTCCTCCCCCCTCCACCTTGACCTTGTTCGCTACCTTTGGCATCAACTTCTCCCCCACTTCTACTCCCACTACCCTCACGCCTTCAACCATCTTCCACATAAATTCTTTCGTCGTCTAACCACTCAAATCTTACGGCATTCCCCCCCCCCCCATTCCTTTGTCCTTCTTTCCCGCGCACAGCCAGCTGTGCCTTGCTCTCCGGCTTGATTAAAGTTGGACTGGTTCCACCAAGGTTTCAACAGCAATCCAGAAAGAGGATTCAGTCATGCTTCAAGAACAGTCCCGCAAGAAGTGGAAGGCAGAGCTGTCCAACAGCAACAAGGCCCGTCGTGACCGCAAGAAAGGCCTCAGATTGAACCCGACATTTTTTAACAAGGGCTCTAACCAACTCTCATTACTCGGACGCCGCAAAGCTACAAACGGAGCCGCTATTGAAGCTTCTGCCACAGTAACTTTGTTTCCCACCTCGGCGAACACTGTCGATTTATTGACTCCGGCCCTGGTGGACCTCACCACCCCTCCGAAGACAACTGCTGTTCCTCATAGCGCCGCGGATTCGGCCTACTATAGCGCCCCTAACACTGTGTCGAAGAGCGTCTCTCCCCCACGTCACATGCCCCCCGGCACCATCGATCCGGTGGTGCTCCAGAACGCGCAGGACTCTACTGCACCCGATTACTCCGTCGCCGACTATAGCTTCAAGATGCACGATAACACGGACAGCCAGTTCTACAAGAAGTTCATCAAGAAGAAGTTTCCCCACCCCGTCTCAGCGAGAAACGGTCTCAAGCCCATTATGCGTCAGGTCCTTCAGAAGCCGGAGGACCGTCCCCTGGTCGCCAAGGCTTATCTCAAGATCAACTTCCGCGCCGGCACTATCCGCGGTGGGACGAGGATGGTTAGGATGCCCGTTAGGAAGCCTGGCGAGCGAAGATGTGATGGCCCTCATGAGGAGATGACCTGGTACTTTGGGCCAAAGGTTGGATACAACTAACGGGGGGAGAAGAAAAAGTCCCAGGAATCTTTGATCATCTAATTTGCCGGTACATCTCGGCCCCACATACTCACCTCGACACCACTTTTACGCTCTCCATCACGATCCTCAACCAGAAAAAGGAAAAGAAAAAAAGAAACGAATCCCTCGAATACCACTCTCACGATGAAAACCAATTTCCTTTGTTTTTTCTCAAATGTCAATTCTCTACCATCTCGGGCGGCCTTTTATCGGAGTTCATCTGGGGGGGTTTGCTTATTTTTGATATCTCTTGACGGGATGATAGAAGCGAAGTAAGGGTAATGACGAACGAAGGTAGGGCGGTACCGGAACTAGGGGTTTTTTCTCCTTTCGGCGCGATTGCGAAAAAGTATTCTTTCTTTCCATATTTTCTCGCCGTTTCTCTATTTCTGGGTCCTAGTACGCTAGTCTCTCTTTTCCTTTACCTCTACAAAGTCTCCGGGACACCATCTTCTCTTCTTGTCCAAAGGTCTTCTCTTTTTTCATCTTCTTTTTCTCTCTCTCTTTTTTCCTTACTCACTCAATCATTCTCCTTTGTTGGGTCTGTTTCCGGAGTACACTTCCCACGGCGCTGTATGGCTTTTTAGATCTTAGAAAGGGCAACGGGTAGGGTTTTACTTTGGGGTTCTTCTACGGTCTTGTGGTTATTTTTCTTCCTTCTACATTTTACCTTCGTCCTCTTTTTACTTTCACCGGAGTTTTACATCTTCCTAGTTACTCTTTTCTCTGTAAACACCATTGCTTCTTTTTAACGAACTTGTATTTGATGCGGATATTATCATCCCTCTCTCTTTTCTGCATTCTCCTTCCTTTCCTTTTTTTTTTATTTCTTGGTCGGACTGCCGTATTATACATACCCTGGTTCAGAATGGGGGAGGGGTATCACGCGCCGCCTACTGTTGCGGCTCGGGTGTTCATTTCTCACTCCCTTCCCCCCACACACCACCACCACCACCACCCCATTCTTTCTTTTTTCTTTCTTTTTTCCTTCCTGATTTCATTTTCCTTTGCCTATGTATATAATTTACGTAGTTGCCACCATACTCTACATACAAGACTTTTTTCAGTCTATAACATATCGTGTTACCATACATCATAGCCTTCATTACTTATTTATTTTTTGCAGGGGTGAAGGGTGAAAGGGGCGGGGAAGGGAGGGTACGGTTTATCGATTCGCAGCCGTAGATATCTGCCAATTAGTGCGATGCGCTCCGCGCTTTGGCTTAAACCAGGGGAGATAGTGGCGGTGGGTGTCTCGTATGGATGGATGGACGCCGACACGAACAACGCGCACTGAGGCTCCTGCCTGATATGACGTTTCCCCCTCCACCCTTCTTTCCCTCCTCCCTCCCCCTTTCGCTTGGCGTGGAATATACTGCTCGTAGGCCAACTGCCAGGCCCTCCACTGCAGAGTACTACTCACCGTGCGCCATCTACCATAAGTTCACAGTTTACGCTCGGACATCCCCCGCGCGCACTGTCATTTATCGGCTGGAGAGAAAGAAAGAAAGAAATAACACTGAAGATGGTCAAGAAGGCTTTTGTTCTCGTCGCGGATGGGTCGGAAGAGATCGAGTTCGTCACTGTTTACGATGGTGTGGCGGGATCCGATTTCTCGTGTTTTGTTCTCGTTCTGTTCCGATAACGGGTGAGGTGGGGTGGTTCCGAGCTGACGGTTGTTGTTCTGAATACGGTAGTTTTGGTCCGCGCCGGATTCCTGGTTTGCTCTATCGGGGTGAATATTTCGGATTCATTTGCTAGGTATTATTCTGCTTTCCGTTGCTATATGTCTACTGTTCTCCAGTTGATGTTGGTTGGTAGGCTTTCTCGCGGGGTGAAGATCATCCCGGACGTTCAGAATCTGGATCCTGAGGCTCAGCTTGTATCTCCTTCTTCAGACCCCCCCCCCCCCCCGAATCCTAAACTATCATAGAGCTAATGAATGCACACGCAGCCGGATCTGATAGTATTACCTGGCGGCGCTCCCGGCACAAAGACCTTTGAAGAGAGTGATGCTGTTTCTAAACTGATCAACAGGGCTCAGAAGGAGGGGGTGTACATTGGCGCTATCTGTGCTGCTACAAAGTATTTCCCCCCTACCTGCCCTCCGTAAACCGCCTTGTGAAGGCCAGCTAACAGTAATCAGAGCGCTCGTGAGGTTCGGCGCCGAAGGCGGCTGGAAGGCCAAAGTTACCAGCCATCCGAGCGTTCAGGAGGCGGTTGTTGAGGGAGGCTGGGAGTACGCTCAGGACAGAATCGTCCTCGATGGGAAGATTATCACTTCCAGAGGGTTTGTTGCGCACCTGTCTAGATGTTCACCGAGAGGCAGAGGCTGATCAGTGAATCTAGACCCGGGACGTCATTGCTGTTCGCTTTGACTCTTGTTGAGACGCTTTGTGGGAAGGAGAAGCGTGAGGTATGTTGAGTACGGCTCATAAACGTGGCTTGAAGGTTTAGCGCTAATACTGGTACTGGCTTAATTACAGGAAGTGGAAAGGCCCATGATTACGGCTAGCGAGTTGTAGTTGATCGATGTTGCTGTTTTGGTAGGACCGGTAGGGCCCCCGAGAGGGTGCGGTATGCCGTAAAACAGCCGAGGAAGTCAATTGCCCTGTAGCTGGGAATTCGAAATAAGCTTATCACAATAAGAGGGGAAGAAAGGGAGAAGGGTAAAAAAAAAGACAGAGACAATTACCATGATAACTACTCGAGCTGCCCGCATGTGGTCAAGTGTAAAAAAAGAACCCCACAGTTGCCAAACTCCAAATTTCCCCATTCGGCAAGGCATCACAAAAACTCACTCACGGACCCCACAACCGCAACGGAACTACCCGGCCGATCAATGCGGCTCCAACCGACACAACCTAATTTCAACCTCACCCCAACGACCTGACTGGATCCCACCCGGAAAGTAGCAACAATCCTCCCCATCCACCACTCTCCGCCACAACTATCGGTCCCCCTCCCTACCCGACACCAGGAGGCAAACCGCGCCTAAAAGGGAAGAAATAAAGAAAAAGATGCAGGCCTGGCACAAAAAAGAAAAGGCCAAGCAAGTGAAAAAGGGCAAGGCGGAGAAGCAAAAACTCCGAACGGAGAAGCTCGCGAGACGGAATCCCAACCGAATACAGAAGCAAATCGATGAATTAACGGCTATAGAAGAGTCCGGGGGGCAGATGAGTTCCGGCGACAGGAAGCTACTAGAGGAGCTACAAAGGGATCTATCGGCGGTAAAAAAGGCGAAGCAGGCACTGGGTGAGAAGGTCCCGGAACAACGCGCAGGAGCCAAGAGGAGTGCTGGGGATATGGAGAAGGATGAGGTATACCATTCACCTACGCCACCCCCGATCACAAGATTTGCTCATCCTGCTGAACAGAAAAGGGCTCCGAGACCCCCCCAACAATACCATCCTCACCACCGACGGGGAGAAGGATGCCCTGACGAGAGCGATTCCGATTCCGGAGAATCGACGTCCTCCTCTGTTCGTGATATCCCTATGCCCCCCGGCACCCCTCCTCCCTTGCAGACGAAAGCCTGGCCCCGAGGCCCCAGGACTGTGCACGAGCTCCCGGAGAAGCCGGTCACCGCTCCCGTGCGGACCACATATTCTGCTGCGCCGATACTCAGGGACTTGAGAAAGGAGGCTGCTGTATTTGTACCTGCGGCGGTGGAGAGGAAGATGCTTGTTGAGAAAGCTACGGGAGGTGAGGAGGATGGGGAGAAAGAGGAAGAGGAAGAGGAAGAGGAAGGGTTCATGAGAAAGAAGATCAACGCTGCACCCGATGTGGATGTGGAGTTTTCAAAGTTCCAAGCGGAGATGGAGGAGGTTGCTGATGAGGAGGCATAATAAGACTATCATGAGTGGGGGGGGTATAATACATTAGAGTGTATCTTTTTTTAGTTCCAAAAATGAGGACGGTACCTAATCATATCCCATTCCGAAATATATATATTATATATAGCATTATCACTATATACGAGCTGCACACACCCTTTCCAAGCAAGATCCGTCCGAGGCCAATTCCATGCACCATCCCACACTACATGTACAGCAACCCCCAAAATACATCAATCACCACGCACCCACACATACAACCCCACCGACCAACAAAAATCCCACAAAAACAAAAAGCAATCCGTCCCACCGCACGCAAACCAGTTCCGCGCAGCCCTATCTATACAACGCCCGATCCAGCGATAGCTTTCATTCTCTCTCTCTTTCTTTCTTTCTTTCTTTCTTTCTTCCATGATAACACCACACATCCATACGGACCATCCAAGGAAGAAGACCTTGTACGAAGTGAGCGGGGGGGAACACTTCCCCCTCTCCCTCCCTCCACCGTCGGCTGGCAGTCGTCAGATCCGTCCGGGGACGGCGACGGCGACGAGAACGAGTGGTTGCTTGTTTGTCTATTCGTTGAAGCGCTGTTTTTATTTTTATTTTTATTTTTATTTTTTTATACTTTGTTGGTTAAAGTGTAGATGGGTCGTCTCGGTGTGATGTGATGGTGTGATACCGGTATCTTTGAGGATTCGGAATATGCTTTCTTTGTTCCTTTCTGGAAAGGTGTAATGTCGGGTGTGATGTAGGGTCTGAAAGTGTGATACGGGGGGGAGGTGGGGGTTGCTGTAACCTTTGATTATTATCTATTAAATTTTATTCATCCATTTATTTTCACGTTTTCGAGTGAATTATCGAATGTGGAATTGATAATATGTAAGCTACGGGTTTCTTGGGGTGGTGAATACATTTTGTATGGCCGTTCATCCCACACACACACACACACACACACTCTCTCTCTCTCTTTTGGAGTCACCGCTATGTATGGTACATTTTCAGACAATCTGGAATCAGGTATCGTAGCGAAATATCTGTCATCGAGGTGGTAGGATACTGCCTATGGCCTATATTCCCCGCGGAGGCACTACCGGTGATCTTACCACTCAAAATCCCGGAATGGCACAACTGCTCGGTATGGAAATTTGTAATAATATAATAATCTCAGATAAGACCGACATAATTATTATTTTTCTCCGAACATCCCCCGGTCGAGACCACCCGTTGAAAGGAACCCACCAACAAACGGTTTTGTCCGGGTTTTTGTTTGCATGCTGGTCGTCGTTATCACACCGACACCCCCCGCCTTACTGTACCTGCAGCTTTAGATGCATGGTTTAAACCGGTTCGTATGATAAGGCGGAGCGAAACTTTGTTTTCTTTGCCGAGGGAAAGTCTGGGGAGTGGTTCCCAACCCAACCCCCTCGAATGGAGAGCCTAATATCGCGGCCGTAATCCACGGGATCAAAAAAAAAAAACCCCCCCTTTCAATCAAGGTGTACTGTACCACGAGCCATGACTATCCGCCCGTAAGCTAGGGTCCCCCGTTTGTAGACCAAGGAAACCGGGGGAAGGGGGGGAGGCGACAACTCACTTTTAGAAGGGAAGGGAAAGGCGTTTGTGTGGTTTGTAGTGCTGTCGTCGGTGGTATGATATATCGTGGAGATCCAACATGGGGGAAAGAGGGAGAGAAGAAGTAGCAGAAGGAGGAGGAGGATTATCGTACAGCACCACGTTATTCATAATTAACATACCAACCCAGAAAAAAAAACCCCCCCAGAAAGATGAGAGCAGTGCCCAGAACATCCCACAACAAAACATGGCCACACTATTAGCGAAAACAAGAAGAAGAAAACCAGTCCCCTCAAACCAACCAATCGGCCTGGAAAGCAAGGGGAAAGGAAACACTCCCATTCAAGTATGACACGACCAACCCTATACGATATAACAACCCCAACCCAAAAAGCAACCGGGATATTACAAGCGCAACACGTGGCCCGAGTGCCGGTACGATATGTCCAATATAGTCTACGCTAAAGCGCACCCTGGGGACTCCTGTAACAATGCTGGTAATAGCTCCCCAATTTTTGCACAGCCAGCCGAAGCCGAGACTTCGCAGAGCGAGATGCGAGGGAGTATAATAATATTACGACACAGCCGGTGCGTCCCGCGGAGCATGGATCAGCAGGTTATCACTCGATAAAGGAGCGCGCATTGCCGTTCCATGCCTAGCGCTAAATGGTTAAAGAACCGGAACGATGGAGTTTCAAACTATGCATGCAGTGCGCAAGCGCAGCAGCATATGCCACGGCCAGTATTTATCCATTGCCACCCACGGCATTTGCGCAAATGCCAGGGCACGGCTTCGAGGTCTGCAGAGCAGAGCGAGTGATATCATATGCTCGCTTAGGACCAGGTCTCGATGTCTCGGGATGGAGGGGTAGGTTTTTCGATATCCCGCACAAAGTATGGAGACTGGGATCGAAACAAAGCGAGGCGGCATGCCACCGGGGCGATTTCCAGAGCCCGTGAAAAGCACTCTTGCACCTGCAGGCCAAGGCAAGTGAAACCGCATGCCATCCAGTGATCCTCCAACAATGGGAGGGGTGTGGTGTGATGGATGCGGTGGGGGGCAGAGACAATTCAACAAGAACGGGGGAGCAAACCCCATTTATCAACGAAAAGCGCCAGCAAGAAAAACACGCTCCAACCGTTGATTCCGGGATACACTCCCATCATGGCGAGTCGGAGCGACCCCGTCCCACCCAGTCCTACCATTGCGGCGAAACCTCGCCACCCAACACCTAAGTTAGTCCCCACCCCTATTCATCATCCCGTGCTCGCGAGCCGGGGGAATTGAAACCTGATGAGGAGCCTTAGGCTCTAGCGAGTTGTCAGTCCATGACAGAGTGAGGCAGGACGACACAATACAAGATAGGACGGATTGGACCTTTTTGAATCAGACAGACAGAATGGGCCGGCGAAAAGTAGAAAAAAGCAAGCGATGCCGCCGCCGCGATTCTGCAAGAGCCAATCAAGTGGCCGTGCGGCATTGACGCACGGTACGAGTAAGTCAGCCACCAATGGGGGGGAGGGTGGCACCCACCCATATCACATGATAGGAGAATCCCTTACGGGAAACCAAAGCACCTGGCACCCACGACATTCACTTGCTTAGTAATACATGTGGATTTTCATCACATGTTTGATTTGACAGCCTCTCGTTTTCTCTCTCACCGGTTGAATTCGGGTCCGCCACACCCAATCTTCAAAACCCATATAATACCGGTAATTGAGCGATGGTAGCTCACCCAAAAGTTAATATTTCTTCCATTTCCCGAACCCCCAGCCTTCTGTTTATCGAAAAATAGAGAGAAAGCTAAAATAAAGGTTCCTGAAGAGCCCTAGCAGCTTCAAGTTTGGGCACCTCCTCTCCCTCCCCCGTAACGGAATTGAAAAGAGAGAAAAAAAGAAAGAAAAGGCACAACTGTCGATCTCTCTCGTCAAGACCTGCTTCTTCCTCCCTTCGCCTACTGTGCAGGTACGTTCCGGCCGGCGGCTATCGTGTTTCCGAAACAAATAAATGCGGTACCCGAGTCGCCCGGGTCCGTGGCTGTCCCAGATATTTCACACGCTATATTTGGGTTGGAAAAGGAGGAACCGCGAGTGACGCTTGTACGAGTATCATCCCTTTGTCTGTTCCCAGATTTCATACACTTCCGGTACCGGCCCGAGAGTCAAAGTCGGAGATTTTAGTACGGAAATTCAACGGTAAACGAGAAAGCCACAAATATTGAAGAGGATCTGTCGCGATCGGTGGATCCCTGGGTCGTTTTTACCGCTTATTCTTTGCACTGCGTGAAATGGCAGCGCTGTTGGTCCAAGTGCTTGAGAATGTGCAAAGAGATATCGGCACCTCCGGAATTTCAAAGATTAGCAATAGAGGGCGCGTGGGGAATTGCGGTATATTTTTCTCTCTCCCAAACGAAACACTGCCTTCGACTCGTAGACGTAGTGACCCGTAAAAGCATGGCAACCTCTGCAATACCGGTACCCGACTCGCAGTAGAAGTTGCTACCGTAAGGTGGTGAAATGTGGAGGAGCCGCTGGGGAGGACTGGAGGTCGATTATCTATCTATCTATTTTTCTTTATGGGGGCCTTTGATTGCCCCGGGGTTTTTCTAATCGGAGTGGTGGCCGGGACGTAAATCTGCCGATTTACTCATATCCGTGAAAGAAATTAAAAAGGAAAGAAGGAAAGAAGGAGTAAAGAATAAAATCCTTTGGTGTTCAAAATATCCCAGTGTTGGATGATCCTAGCCCACACTCCCCTAGATTATTGGATCACTCGAAATAGAAACCCTCAATACGGTGGCATGATGTGATACCCGAGCACCGTGAAGCTAAAAACCTTCAGGCACAATGCCGCCGGGGATGGTATCGTATCAGAGGAGAACTAACGGTAACTCACAGGGAAAACTCGGTACGCCCCTGGGCTTGGCTGTTGGTTGGGGTGCCGTCGTACCTACGGTGAGATATTAGGACCAACGGCCTACAGGTACAGTAACTTCATAGTGCCGTACCCTAGTACAAGTATCTCCGACTGGGCCTACCGTATTGGTTTATCATGCCCCGGAATCCTAACCAGGTGCGTGTAAAGAGTACGAGTACGGTAATAAAATGGGTCACCGTTCACCTACCTTTATCCACAACGCAGCCGGAACCCGGTGTAGTATTTGACCGGTTCCTCTCATGTTTGTTATTCGTGGAGGCGCTCAGAGGATACAAGACGTAACGTAACCTACGATGCAGTGAAACAACACCTGGATTCCGGCATCATCGATATTGTACCGGCGCTCCACCGTGCTCTCGTCGCTACAATTTCACCTGTTACCGGTTATAGTCGCTCCCCGGAGTATTGGAGGGTTAGGAGCGTCTTGGGATGGCTACCCTAGATGAGGAACCCAATTGCCAATTAAACTTTCTAAGATCTCTCGCGCACTACGGGACCTGGTGCCATAGGAAGGATTCGGACATGAGTCTAGGCTCATTTGGACCGAGCTCTCTGCGCCTCCCTGCTCTTAAAATAGGCCGGGAATGTACCTCCACTTGATCGTCCCGCCGACTCGTAACCTACTGGGTTGGGCTAGCTTTCCGAGTGGGTAGGTGGCCATCTGTTGTGACGGCTTACCTGCTCAGTTACACGTCCCAGGCATATTGAACCCGAACACAGGGGGGTGTCACGGCCACCCGGCGTGCTGGACGTGGAGGAACATTGGACTTTTGGTTGCATATATCGGCTGTGGTTTCTTTGGTTGCGTTGTAGGATTTCCTTCGTGTTATGATTGGGATAGGTTGCCACGCAACGGAACCTGGCGGAACATGATGGAAAGATCGCGGCTGCGCGCGACGCCAAGAGCTTTCTTTTGTATTAGTGATCATGGAGGATTTCCTATCT